TGCAGTATAACCATGCTTTGCTGACCCCACGTTTCTCGTCATTGCAGGCTGTGGTTGGTCTGATCCGTAACCTGGCGCTGTGTCCAGCCAATCAGGCTCCTTTGAGAGACGCTGAAGCCATTCCCAAACTGGTCACTTTACTTTCGAAAGCTCATCAGGATGCACAGAAACACGGTTCATCTGCTCAACAAACATACCAGGTATGAATTCCTCACCCTTCGCTGTAACACAGATGCACAATAAGGATTTAACCAGGAAAGGGTTTAACCATTTCAACCAAAAAAATAATGATTCTTCCAAAAGAATGACTCTGAGTTGATTCCTTTTAGTGAATCAAAAACATGTAGCACAACCAGTGTAGTGCAGTTCCTAAACAAATGACTCTTAATGATGTGGTTATTTTTAGTGAATCGACATGTAGCTCAACCAGTGTAGTCCAATTTCTAGCCAAATGACTCTTGAGTTGTAGATCAGCTGTCAACTAACTCTGAGAGTTGAATCAGTGTATATACTGACTGGTTGTTTATATGTGTAGTTAAAGATGCTCATATTATTTGTTATATATATATATATATTAAATAATATCATTATTCATTAAAAGTGCTAAAAAAATCATTAATAGAATTGTTGACCAAAATCATTGAGAGGAATCAAAACCAGAATTGTTAAATTCTCTACAATTCACATTTTTATGCACATAAAACAATGTACAGACTATTATTTTGTCACTGAATTACCAAAATGTCATTTTTTCCTCTCTCTCTCTCTCAGGATGGGGTGAGAATGGAGGAGATTGTGGAGGGCAGCACTGGTGCTCTGCATATCATGGCCAGAGATCCTATTAACAAAGCCACCATTGCCAACATGGGCACCATTCCTCTGTTTGTTCAGGTAACTCTTATAACCTTTCCACAGATATACTGTTATGGGTGTTTTTATGTGCATGTATGGGAGTGGGTTTGTACAGTCTTTGCCCTCTATGTGACATGGTCAGTGTGTAATAGACATCTGTTTTCTGTCCCTGCAGCTGTTGTATTCTCCATTGGATAACGTCAAGCGTGTGGCAGCTGGTGTTCTGTGTGAACTGGCTCTTGATAAACAGTCGGCTGAGATCATTGATTCGGAAGGAGCCAATGCTCCTCTCATGGAGCTCCTCCACTCCAGCAATGAAGGGATCGGTGAGTGAGAGAGAAACATCCAAAGATGCGAAAATGATCAGCAGTGTAGTATACAAATAGTGTACGTGCATAGCCAGATTTTTCTAGGCACAGACACTGGACAAGAATGAAACTCTCTAGCACACTATCAAATGTATTATACTTTGAAAGGCTATGCAATTCACGTCAATACTCACTGAAGTATAATTTGGGCTCAAGCGTGCAACAAAGGTATTTTCTTTTTTTTTCAGCTACCTATGCTGCTGCTGTTCTCTTCCGAATTTCTGAGGACAAAAACTCAGACTATAAGAAACGAGTATCAGTGGAGCTCACGCACTCACTCTTCAAACACGACCCTGCTTCTTGGGAGATGGTGAGTTATTCTACAAGAAAACCAAATTTAGACATTATTTTTCCATATTTGGTCTTGAAATGTGGTCTTTATAGTAAGGCGAGCAGATTTTTTTTTAAAGGATACTGGGGACATTTCTTAGTCCTATGATCAAAATATAACTGAAAACTGTTTTATAAATTCTACGAAAAAAATGGATACAATACATTTTTTTCTTGTTTTTGTTTTTTAATTGTTGTTGGTTCAGTATACCATTATTGTAAACCTGGCTTTGATACAGTTCACCAAAAATCACACTAATAGCAGGCACAATAAAAAAATACTAAATAGTAACAGATCAATACAGTATTATGTTATAACAGAATTATGCCTTTACAAAAACGTTATGAAATAAAAAAAATATGAACGCTTGCTAAATAAAACTTAACAAACATTTGTAACATCTAATTGTTTTTAATGTTTTTCTTTTCACAAACTATGAATATAACCTATGTACAGTAACTGCAACTCTTAGCTTAGTACTTTCATAAAATTGGCAATGGCTGTGATGTATTTATATGAATATAGTCTGACGCGCTACATGTCTGCTGTAACAGTACTGTGTTTTCAGTTTTACAACGATTCACTGTAAATGTTAGCTATGGTTAAAATTGCTTTAATTTGCATTTGGGAAC